TACTATATCAGTTAAGGAAATCTAAAAAGCCAACTTTTTACATTCTAAGTAGTCCCTGGAACAGCTATCATCTATAGCTGTGCTGTGTTAGCTACTAGCTGCATGTAGCTATTTAAATTATTTAAAATTTGGAAAGATCCACACACCCCAATGTTCACAGCAGCACATTTACAATAGCCAAGACATGGAAACAACCTAAATGTCCACTGATAGATGAATGGATAAATGAGAGGTGGTACACATACACAATGGAATATTACTCAGGCATAAAAAATGCAACCTTGTCATTTGTGACAACATGGATGGACCTAGAGGATTTTACGCTAAGTGAAATAATCAAAGACAAATACCATATCATTATACTTACATGTGGAATCTAAAAAACAAAACAGACAAACAAAACAAAACAGAAACTGACTCACAGGTACAGAATGTAATATACAGCGTAGGGAATATAGTCAATAGCACTGCAATAATTTTATATGGTAACAGATGGTTACCTGACTTATTGTGGTGATCAATCCTTAATGAATATAAATGTGAAATCACTATGTTGAACACTTGAATACTAATATAATATTGTATGTCAACTGCAATTTAAAAAAATAAAAATAGGGCTTCCCTGGTGGCGCAGTGGTTAAGAATCCACCTGCCAATGCAGGTAACACGGGTTCGAGCCCTGGTCCAGGAAGATCCCACATGCCGTGAAGCAACTAAGCCCATGTGCCAGAACTACTGAAGCCCGTGTGCCTAGAGCCCATGCTCCGCAGCGAGGGAAGCCACCGCAATGAGAAGCCCGCGCACGGCAAGGAAGAGTAGCCCCCACTCACCACAACTAAAGAAACCCTGTGGGCTTCCCTGGTGGCGCAGTGGTTGAGAGTCCGCCTGCCGATGCAGGGGACACGAGTTCGTGCCCCGGTCCGGGAGGATACCACGTGCCGCGGAGCGGCTGGGCCCGTGAGCCATGGCCACTGAGCCTGCGCATCCGGAGCCTGTGCTCCGCAACGGGAGAGGCCACAACGGTGTGTGCGTGTGTGTGTGTGTAGGGCCAGGGGATTTTGTGGCGATGCGTCTTACATCCAGAGCACCTCGACAGAGATGACGGCTCTCAGCTGGCAGGTTAGAAGCCCCCATTTCAATGGCCCTGAAGGGGACTCACCACACCCTCCTAACAGGCAGCCTCCCCAGTGAAAGTCCGGGGCCTGACAACAAGTAAAGCTCCTGGAACTATGGCTCCAGACTGCTTGCTCTCTGCCCTACCCCCACCATCACCACCATAGAGGCCAAAAGCCTTACTAGGGGTACTGGGGACATTCTTCTTGGTCCTTTACGTTGGCTAGCCCATAAACTGGTCCCATTTGAGTGTCGTGCAGAACGACAGGCTTCACCGGCAAGCTGCGGCACGCTAGCTACTCTGGTGGCTCTGCACCCCCAGCAAGAGTTTGAGCCAGAAGTCTCTGTGACTGATGACCGCTGACAGAGCCTCTGGGGAAGGGAGGAGCCCCACCTGCAAGTGACCCTGGGGGTTTGCACTCAGTGCCTTCCGGGACTGTTGCCCGCTGCGTCCCCCCTGAAGAGCAGCCATCAGCTTCTCAGGAGCCCCTGTCAAAACTGGGTGACCGACCCAGGGAGGCCTCGTGAACCTCCAGCCTGATACTCCCATTTTGGGGTGGCTCGACTCACAAAACCTTTCCTGTCAAGTGCAAATGGTGGATTCAAGAGCGGCGGCCTGGCCACGCAGGCATCTGGGCCCTACCTGAGAAAGCAGCAGCTATCTTCCAGGGAAAGCTTTGCCCCCTGCTGAGCCAGGTGAGTCACTGCACGGCTCACTGGAGCCCTCAATTCACAGACGCCCCTAAATGCTGAATGCCTGCTTTGACTAAGCGAAAGCTCACTGATTTCCACTGGACTGCAGTGCCAGCCCTGCAACACCAAAAGCGGACACGGCCCCTCCACCCAGAGGCCAGAATCCAGGCCCCTCTCAGGGCTCTGCCCAATGCCTGCCTTGATGAACCGTGCTCTGTGCTTACTGACTCCTGGGCTTTGCCAGTGGCCTAGCTACCAGGTCTGCCATTATGAAAACTAGAGTAGCATTAAAGACACCCGCCTGGGGCCGTGAACTGTGGAAACAAATGATGACTGCTGACTGCACTTTCCGGGGTCCTCATGTGGATGTCCACAGAAAGGACCCTTCTCTGATGGGACACGCTAGAACTAAACTGCTAGTTGAGCACGCGCTGCCCTGGCTGCTACCATCCTGCTGCCTGGATCCACCATCACATCAGACGTGACAACGCAGCCACCGTCACAGAAAAGGCACAAAGTGAAGGGCTCCGTCTCTGCAGAGGCTGCCACTGGGTTCCGGACTGGTGACTCCTGCCCAGAGCTGCTCTGGTCTCTCCTGACAGACTGACCTCCGACCCCTCCCAGGCGTTTTATTGGTGGAGCCTCATCACCGGTGACACTTTTTCAGGTTTTGGTGCTGCTGTTTCAGTCAAGTCAGCCAACTGCAGTCACACTGCTGCAGCCCCTGAAACTAGAATTTGTCGTGTGTTTGGTTTTGTGGGGCTTGCAACCTGAACATAGCATGCCTTTTACCAAAAAAGCAGCTCGACAATGGCTGACCAGGGGGTATTCAATGGAGCTCCCGTGCTCCCTGCCTTCCGCAGACATTTGATATTGTTAAGCATTGAGATGGCCTCTGGAAAAATCAACTCAAAAAGGGTTTGACTGCTTCCCTCACATCCTGGTCTGCACACCTTACCAAGGCAGGTGGTCACTAAATGTGGCTATCCCCAGAAAGATGCCCTCTGCCACTTGCTGGGTAATGATCAGGATGAAAAGTTGGCAGTTCCTTAAAAAGTTAAACATACTTACCACAGAGCCCAGCAATTTCCCCTCCTAGGTCTGTACCCTAGAGAAATAAAAACTTACGTCCACACAAAACTCTGGACGTGAATGTTTATAGTGGCTCTATTCATAATTACCCCAAAACTCGAAACGAACCCAAATGTCCTGCAGTTGGTGAATGGATAAATAACGGCACATCCGTACAATGAGTATCAGTTAGTGATGAAAGGGAACAAATTATTGACAAATGAGACAACCTGAACGAATCTCAAAGGCATTTTGCTGAGGAAAAGAAACCTGTCGCAAAAGGTTTGTTTCCATTTATATGACATTCATGAATGACAAAGTGATAGTGATGAAGAACAGATGACGGTTGTCAGACATTAGGGATGGGAGGCGTGTCAGCCACGATGGGGTAGGGTGAGGGTAATGAAACTATTCTGTGGACTGATTATGCCAGTGATTACAAGAGTCTGTACATGTATTAAAATTCAAAGAACTGTATGCCAAAAGAAAAGATAATATTACTGTACGTTAATTGAAAAAATAAAAGGTGGAGAGGACTTCAAAAATGCCAAATTTCTTATTCCTTTTTTTTTTTTTTTTTTTTTGCGGTACGCGGGCCTCTCACTGCTGTGGCCTCTCCCGTTGCGGAGCACAGGCTCCGGACGCGCAGGCTCAGCGGCCATGGCTCACGGGCCCAGCCGCTCCGCGGCATGTGGGATCTTCCCGGACCGGGGCACGAACCCGCGTCCCCTGCATCGGCAGGCAGACTCCCAACCACTGCACCCCCAGGGAAGCCCTCTTATTCCTTTTTCTATTGAGCTATAATTGACATATAACGTTAGTTTCAGGTGTACAATATAATGATTTGATATTTGTATGTATTGCAAAATGATCATCACAATAAGTCTAGTAAATATCCATCATTTTTTTCCTTGTGATGAGAACTTTTAAGATCGACTCTCTCAGCAACTTTCAAGTATACAGTAGAGTCTTATTAACTGTAGTCACCATGCTGCACACAACATCCCCCAGACTTATTTGCTTCATAAATCAGAGTTTGTACTTTTCGACCCCCTTCACCCATCTTGCCCACTCCCACACCCTGCCAATGCCACACCAATCTCTTCTCTGTATCTACGAGTTCAGTTGTTTGGGGGTTTTTTTGGTTTTGTTTTATAAAATGTCAAAAATGTCCAAAGTTTGACCAAAATGTCCATTTTATAAAAGACAAAGAAAGACTGTGGAAATGTTCCAGATTAAAGAAACCTAAAGAGATGTGACAATTAAATGCAAAACCTGATTCTAGCCTGGATCTCATACTGGAAGGGAAAATAAAATGCTATAACGTCCTTGATGTTAATAGATACAACAAAAGTCCTGTAGTCTTAGTTCTAAGTTTCCTCAAAACCCAGAAGAAAATGACCAGTGATCTTAGGTTCTGTCCTGCTGATCGGTTTCTGTATCAATTAATTCCTAGATTCAATTAAGTCTGCATGCAGTGCAATGCATGAATATATATACAAGGCAATGGACTAGATGGAGAGGGGGCAACAGAAAGTCCTCTTTTTCTCCAAAAGGTGCTCAAAGTCTCGAGTTTCACCAACACTACCTGCCAACGCATTTAGTCACTCCTCCTTAACGGTATTCACTGCCACGTAAACATTGAGAACTTTGGTGGCTTTTAGGAATTACTCGTGATTTTTCTAAAAAGCCGTCTGAGGCTGTTTTTCTAGTCCCGAGGAAAGTCACTCATTTTACAACCCCGCCCAGTGTCCAGATTTACGGGCATTTTCCGAAGCCAGCTCACTGCAGGACGATCCTTTCCCCAAGCTGGCGAACTTCATCCCACGACCTGCGTCAGGGCGTTGCAAGTGACAAGTGACAGCCAGTGCCAGGCTGGTGGCTCACAGAGCGGAGGCGAGGCACCGGCTGCGGCAGCACGTCTTTGCCCCGACCATCCTGGCGCCGCCCGTCCCCACCGTCCCCAGGCCGCCTCCCTCCCCCGGCCAGCGTCCCCACACTCGGGCCTGTTTCCTCAGTCCCGCTCAAAGAAAGAGCTACCGGCCACGAAAGGCAGGTGTGTCAGCACAGGTCCCCAACCCGCCCGTCCACCCGGAGCGGGGCTGGGCGCCGGGACTACTCACCGTCCAGGAGGAGGGCCGGTGTCCAGGCTGCCAGGAGGGACAGCGCTCCTGCTCTGCGGTCACCCATTCGCCTCAGGAACAGCTGCGCCTCGTCCCCTCGGCCACCTGCAGCCGCAGGGCACAGCCACGCGCCCGTTCCGAGGCAAGGGCGTCTGGGGGAACTGAGGGGGGCTGAAGGGACACCTGAGGGCACAGGAGAAGGACAGGAGATAAGACAGGTGAGGGACAGCTGAAGCACAGGTGAGGGACAGGAGAGGGAACAGGACATGGGACAGCTAAGGGGGCAGGTGACGGGACAGGAGACTAGGGCGGCCGCCTGAGCGCGCGCGGCCCGACAGTGCCCGACCCTCCCAGGAGGGGCCGGGGCCCCCACTGCCCCAGTGGCGCGCCGGGCCCCGCCCACGGGTCCGACACGACACGACACGCCCCCTCGCGGGCCGGCCCGGGGGCGAGGCGGAGCGCGCGGGGAGCCACCTCCCGAGGCGGAAGCGGAAGCGCCGCCGGGCCGCGGCCTTGGAGACGCGGGGGCGGGGCCAGCGGAGAAGCGCGACCTTTGACCCGCGGCGGGGCTCCGCAGGAGTCAGCGGGCGGAAGTGCGGGCTGCGGGTGGCCATGGAGGTAACGCGGGGGCCCGGGGGCCGAGGGACCACCGCCCCTCCCCGCCTGCCCTCCCCGCCCGCCGGGGTCCGCACAGCCGCATGTGACCGGCTGGCTTTCGTTGTGTTTTGCAGGAGCCTGTTCACGACGGGGTGGCCTCGCCGGCCGCTCCTGGGACCGGGAAATCCAAGGTGAAGAGACGCTGGAGCGGCGGGGTCTTGCCGGGAGGGGAGGGGGCTCCCTGGGGGACAACTTTCCTCCGGGCTCTCGGCCTGAGCTGTCACGGTCGCGCGTTTAGTCCCTCCTCTCGGAGCTCCCTGGTGTGACGCCTGAGTTCGTCTCCTTGCCGCCCGGCTCAGCGCTGCTGAGAGATTCCGCAGGTTCCCAACGTTAGATGAAGCCGTCTGGCTTGTGAGGTCCGAGCGGTGGGCGGGCGTCGCGGTCTCGGCTCTGCCTGCGCCTCCGCTGATGTGAGCACAGGTCGCCGCTGGGGCCCTGAACGGGCGCCCAGGAGATGGGGACTTGCCGCCGAGGTTTATTGTTTCAAGCTGACTTTGAGACACTCGCCCAAACACTCGACTGCATTGAAGCTTCACGGTAACCGTGAGATAAATAATGTGGTTATGCCAGCTTTATGCCTAAGAAAACTGAGCCCGCAGGGGTTAAGGAACTTTCCCTGAGTTTTAGGTAAAGCCTAAACGCACCCTGATTCATCTATCGCTGTAATTAGGCTTACGTGTTTTCATGTGGCCAGAGACTCCTTTCAGCCTTGAATAGGACGAAGCAATTTTACAGATCTAAGGAACTTTACGTAGAATTAGTCGCAGTTCCCTAATTTTGCAATTAAATCAAAATCTAGAAAGTGTCTTAACCTGTAACAAGGATATCTGTAACGTAAGAGGATACGTGCGATTTTCTCTACATTTCATAATAGTTGCTGAGCTAATAATTATTGAGTGAAACTTGCATTTGCTAATCTTAAAAAATGTGGTGCTTGGTTGACATAAAGATCTATTCAGTAGGATGTTTTTTATTTTTAGGCAGACTTTATGTTTCTTTTTTGTGGTATAGTAGAAACATGAATTCTCCCTAATTGGTAACATCACTGACTCTTCCAGCTGGAAACATTGCCCAAGGAAGATCTTATCAAGTTTGCCAAGAAGCAGATGATGCTAATACAGAAAGCTAAATCAAGATGTACAGGTATTGGGTTGAAAATATTCGTCTTGACCGCAATCTTGTTTAATCGTGGTTACAACTCTTAGTTTTGTAATAGTACATTGGCTTGTTTTGTTTATCAGCGAATCCAATAATATTAGCGTAGTGGAATCTGTTATTACTTAGCATTGTAAACTTTCTTCTGATATTTCTTATTATCTCACATCCCTAAACTGCAGTTACCTTTGAATTAATAAAGTCAGGGAGGAGGATTTTAAAAAGTTTGTTAAAGTTCAGCACTTTTTTTTTTTCCTCATGTGGATCATATATTCTTCTGAGTAAAGCATTTTCTCCTGGAGTTGCCAGTTGAAATGTTAGAGACATGAAGTTCTGAGCCCAAGGAAGTAAGAAGAGGCCCCAAGTAAAGTAGTAAAAGATTTCTGTTCCTGGAATTTTGAAATATATTTATTTACTGAAGTTGGTTGATTGCCTATTCAGTTTCTCTTTCTTTATATTCCAAAAAGACAAAGATATTAGTATCCTTTTTTAATATGTGTAGGTGAGCTCTTGAATTTTCAGTAACTTAACTGCCCTGCCTAAAAGCCAAGACTTATTTACTACTAGAAAAGGTCAAACTGTGTTTCCGGAGGTTGGATCAGCTTATGATAAGAGAGTAATTTATTTGGAAAGATGTCCTAGGCTCCAGACCTAGACATGAGTTGATGAAATAGATTAACATGTATGTTTAATATGAGGTTAGTTGTTGCTTTAAGATTATACAGTAAGAAGTTATTTACAGCTGAAATAATGTCTGGGATTTGCTTCAAAAATATCAGGATGCATAAGACAAGAGGGGAAGGAGGAAATGAATACAGGTTGGGATGAAACAAGGTTGGTCATGTAGTAATTATTAAACCAAGATGATGGAGCATAGAGATTAATCGCACTATTCTCTCTGGGTTTTTTTAATTTGTTTGGAGTTTTCCATAATAAAAAGGAAAATAAAAGGTAATGAAGGGTGAACTTAGTGCTTCCTCAACATATCTGCTGCTTCTTAAATGTATTCTAATTTATAGTGATCTTTTTTTAAGAATGTACTTATCACTTGAGCCAGTAATTATTTTCTTCATTTCTGAACTAGTATCTTTTTATTTTTTTAATTGTTTAGAATTGGAGAAAGAAATTGAAGAATTGAGATCGAAAGCTGTTGCTGGAGGAACTGATGATATTATTAAGGTAATGAAACAGTTGTAGTATTGCTTTAATTTTCACTTCTTTACTTAGAGGAGATGCCTGATGATAAGTCGGATTTCCTTGAGGGCTGTCAGCCTGCTTGAGCACTCTGGCTTCCGTGCCTTTTGTTCCACTTCCTCTCTGCCCTTGGTTCCACTCTTCACCTTTCTGGTTGACTGTAAAAAGAGAGGTGAATGACCTCTGCGTCCCTTTCTGTTCTGAAGTGGTATTACTTTCTGTCCTTTCATCCTTTACACACTGTAATTATGGTTATTGCTTCAGTCTCAGGCCTGCTGTTCCCTCTCCCCATCAGAAAACCCAGCCACACTCAGGACTTTGATGATTCTCTCCATTCCCATGGTTCTTTGTTAAACACATCATGTCTTACTTGCTAACCGTACTTACCTTGATAACCCGTAACTGGGCTCTCTTTCTCTTTTACTTCTACATACTCTTGTCAGATGATAGAATGTTGTTTTTATATTGTTATTCCTTGTTTAAGATCCTGAGTTGCTCATTCTTTCTTATGTGCCCTTAATGTAATTAAATGCTTTTCCTTCCCCCACTTGGCCTACCTTCTTTAAAGTTTCTTTGCTTTTCAAAGCTCTGCAGAAATTTTTTTCCTTGCTTTTGCATGTTTGTAATTTGAGTCATAGTATCTATCTATTCTTTGATTATATGTTATCTTAGTGTCCCAACTTGTGAGCCATGCACAATTGAGGGACTCCCATGAAGCTACTACCAGGAGTCTTTAAATCGCTGTGCGTACCTTGCACTACCATTTTGTTCTTCATTTAGCTAGAACAGTGTATGAATCCTGAATGGTGTGCGCAAATACCATTTGGATTCGTAATGCACCGATTGGTTGAAGCATTACTGAATTCGTAATGGTTTTGTTTATTTGGTCACTATGTATTTCCCTGATTAGTAATAGCAAAAGTACAACTCCATGTAGTTAAAGAGCTCTGACTGTGGAGCCAGACCACCTGATTCACATCTTCAGACCCCTGCTGTGCCACGCACCAGCTATGTGACCACGGCTATGTTTCTTTTTTTTTTTTTTTTTTTTTTTTTTACGGCTACGTTTCTTAACTTCCTTCTCTTCCTTCATCTGTAGACTAGGGATAATAATAAGGCCTACTTTCATAGAGTTGTATTATGAGTTAGTACATACAGTACGTAGAGCTGGATCTGTCACATAAGTACTCAATGGTTTTATTATTACCATATATTATTTGGGGGATATTTTCTACACACATGTATACATACATCCATCCATGCACACCCGCACTAAAAAGGAGGTTTTTGTATTTGAAAAGAGCACTGCAGAGATTCTGTTCTAATTTTGCATCAGTTAACTCTTGGCCCTTAAAATACTTTTCATGCTGTTGCATTTCAGAATATTCAAATATCTGTCCCTTATTTCCTCCTTATCAATGTATTCTCCCCTTCTGTCAAAACTACTCCTAAAAATTTAAGGGTAGAAAATTTCTCTCAGTTAGCTAACTTTACCTTTCAGGTTATTAATTTAATATTAAAGCATGTTATCCTGACCACTCAAGTCTCAGAAAGTAAAGGTTGGTAAAATTAAATGAGAATGAAATCTTTGGTTTCCAGTGTTAATGAGAAAATTACATTGGGGAGTGATTGGCGGAGCTGTGCATCAGTTATTCAGTTGCTGTAAGTAAGTTTTCTGTTTTAGGAAAATCATATACTGCAATGTGATATGTCCTCTGCACCTCTGGAAAAGGGAAAAGACTTTCTTGCTATGTTTTGTCTCTTCACTGGGAAAAGTACACTGGAAAAACATGGCTTTGAATACAGAATTTTCTGTCCTTCATAAAAATGTATGGCTTTTTACAAGTTTTAGTTATTAAAATTTCTGATAGTCATCTTCTAGTGCATTGAAATACATCTAAAGTTTTATTGCAAACCTGGCATATTTGACTTTTAAAAAAGAGGAATAAAAACCCATATTTTCCATGTCAAAATTTGAGGTGTATGGTATTACAGTGAACTTATATGCTGCTTCCAAATGCAAGAGGAAGGTAAAAATTGCATGTCAAGATGCGGAATTTCTAGTACGTATCACTTATTGTTTTCTCTTTGCTGGAATCAAATTTGTATTTCCTAGGAAATAACTGTCCATTTGTGCCTCTACTCTTTAAGGATATTTATAGCTGTTTTCAGATAATATCCTCTGTATATCTCCTAAAATTATTAATGTTTTCAGGCTTCCCCTGATAATTTACCAAACAGGAGTTTACATTGCAATACTATGCAATGTGAAAAAACTAATTTTAAAACTAAAATTGTTTTAACAAAAGTAATATATGCTCATGATTTAGAAATAGTACTAACAACTAAATAACTTATAATTCTAAATAGCTTATGGAAATTATCTCTGTATTTCTGAATAATATGCTTATACTGCTTTTCTTTGATTCATCCCTTGGTGAGACATTTAGCTGTTAACTTCCTGTTACAACAGATGAAAATTTAGCTATCTTTCACAATGACTCCTACTTGCCAACTGGTCAAATAGATCAAATAATCGTTTATTTTTTTTTCTGGACACCTGCCTCCTAAAGC